TTAGCGCAAAACAACGGACACAAATTGGATCATGGAATGTATTGACGTTAGCCCAGCAGGGTAAACTGGCACAACTCGCCCACGAGGCGCGACGCATGAAGCTAGAAATCCTGAGACTGAGTGAAGTTCGTTGGCCAAACTTTGGAGAACACAAACTGTCATCGGGACAGGTACTCTGGTATTCGAGGTGAAAACGCTCCCCGCCATCGTGGAGTTGGTCGCCTACTTAGCGTGCAGGCAAGTGCTGCGCTCATCAAGTGGGAGCCTGTTAATGAGTGGATAATCGTTGCCAGAGAACACGGGTTAGTAACCTTACCATAATCCAATGTTATGCGCCAACCGATGCTGCCGAGCTACAGGACAAGGAGAATGTTTACAGTCAACTGAATGCCGTCATGGATAAGGTTCTAAAGGGTGACTTCAATGCGAATATCGGCTCCGACAACACGGACTATGAGCGTGTCATGTGACGCCATGGTCTCGGTGAAATAAGCGAGAACGGTGAGCTGTTTGCAGAATTTTGTGGCAATAACGACATGGTGATCAAGAGCTCGCTCTTCCCCCATCGGCCAGTGCACAAAGTCACGTGGGTTTCCCGTGATGGACATACCGAAAATCACATCGACCACATCTGCATCAGCCGATAATGGAGACGGAGCCTTCTTGATATCCGGAATAAACGCAGCGCCGACATCGCGTCTGACAATCACCTTCTAATCGGCGAAATCCGCCTACACATGGCGTGGATCCAGCGGAAGGAAAGACTCGGGCGGCGGTTCAACCCACGCCGACTTAAAGATCCAGCGGTAAAAAGGTCTTTTGTTGAAGAACTTGAGACTCGAGCTGCGGACGTTCCAGAAGGTGGCAGCGTAGAAGAACAATGGACGGCCATCAAGAATGCCTTTATAGAAACAAGCGAGAACAACTTGGGTTAGCTGCGCACCCAGAGGAAAGAGTGAATCACAGATGAAACCTGGCGGAAGATTGAGGGGCGTAGAGAAGCAAAAGCCGCGATAGACCGGGCGTGAACCAGAGGAGCCAAGAACGAAGCCCGTCAACAATACTCGGCTCTAGAGAAGGAAGTCAAGCGCTCTTGCAGACGGGACAAGCGAGCGTGGGTGAGCTCCCTGGCCGACGAAGGGGAGAAAGCCGCAAACACTGGCGATATACTCCTCCTCTATACGATATCTCACGACGCCTGAGTGGAGCAAGGATGAACCCGAGGATGCCAGTGAAGGACACGACTGGACAATTGCTTACCGACCCCACTGACCAGTTGAAACGCTGGTTTGAGCACTTCGAACAACTTCAAGTTTTGACGGCCAACCAGCCAACCTCAATTCCGAGGCCCCATCACTGCAGGAGATTGAAGCAGCTATCCGAAGCATGAAATCCAACAAGGCTCCAGGGGTCGATCGCATATCAGCAGAGATGCTCAAAGCTGACCCCATGCTATCCGCACAAATGTTGCATCAACTATTCTGTAATATCTGGGACACCGCGACTTTTCCGGCCGACTGGATGCAGGGCATCTTAGTGAAGGTCCCAAAGAAGGGGGATCTGACTGTGTGTGACAATTGGCGAGACATCATGTTACTGTGTATTGTTCTCAAAGTTCTGTGCAAAGTTATCCTGAATCGGATACAGGAGAAGATCGACGCGACTCTCTGAGGACAGCAGGCAGAATTCCATGCCGGAAGATCTTGTGTGGACCATATTGTCACGCTCCGCATCATCCTGGAGTAGGTCAATGAATTCCAAGAGTCCCTTTATTTGGTATTCATTGACTACAAAAAAGCTTTCGACCGTCTCAATCACGAGAATCTGTGGGGCGCCCTGAGACACAAGGGAGTCCCGGATAAAATCGGCAACCTCATCGAAACGCAGTATGAGGCTTTCATGCGCAGAGGTCTGCATAACGGAGCCTTGTCCGACCCTATCCGGGTAGTCGCTGGTGTGAGACAAGGATGTATACTATCACCGCTACTGTTTCTCATCGTAATCGACGAGATCATGGTAGGTGCAATTGACCGTGTACCAAACCGTGGGCTGCTTTGGCAGCCTATCACCATGGAGCATCTCAACGACTTCGATTTGGCTGATGATGTTGCTCTACTAGCACAACGGCGCTCTGATATGCAGAGTAAGCTCAATGACCTAGCCGAACGCTCCTCTGCGGCGGGTCTCACCATCAAAATCAACAAGACCAAATCGTTGGATATGAACACGGGCAACCCTTCCAACTTTACGGTGGCGGGGCAAGCAGTGGAGAAGGTCGAAAGTTTCCAATATCTTGGCAGCCAAATAGCGATGGACGGTGGGACCAAGAGCGACATAGGTGCACGAATCAAGAAGACTAGGGCTGCCTTTGCGAGTTTACGAAACGTATGGAAATCCAACCAGATAAGTCAACGCACTAAAATCCGAATTTTCAACTCGAACGCGAAATCTGTGTTGTTATACGCCAGCGAGACGTTATGTGCGGAGAACTCTCAAAAGCTGCAGGTCTTCATCAACCGATGCCTGCGGTATATAATTCGTGCCTGGTGGCCTCACAACTGGATCTCGAATGCCCAGCTCCATCATCAGAAGCCGATAGCAACAGAAATTCGAGAGCGAAAGTGGAGGTGGGTCGGCCACACACTTCCACGGGGCGAAAACGAAATCTGCAAGCTAGCGCTGGATTGGAATCCGGCAGGACATCGCAGCAGAGGCAGACCCAGGGGCTCATGGCGGCGGAGCCTCAATAAGGAAATTAAGCAAGTCGATAGGAATCTGACCTGGGCCCAGGTCAAGGCAAAAGCGAGCAGCCGCCCAGGATGGAAGTCTTTCACGTTGGCCCTTTGCACCGCTGGTGGTGCACAGGACCCTTAAGTAAGTAAGTAAGTCTCAATATTCAAACCAATATTATGGTAGGCATAGCAAGTTTTCAATTAACAAGTTTGAAAATGATTATAATACACTAATTTGAAGAAAAAAAAATTGATATGTTTCAGTTGGGACTATTGGGTAAATAAAGAAAATAATATTTGATTCCACAAAGAAAACTGCTTGAAACTCGTGAGATCACCCCAATTCTCACAAAATTCGACAATGGAACCACCCACTAATCAATTTCTGATCGATTTCATCAATCGTTCAGATTCCAGTCTAAATCTTTCGCTCTTTTGGACCAGTCTTTTCCAACTTCTTCTCCACGCAAACCATTCCAACTCAATAAAATGACACCTCATAACAATAAAGTACACGTTTTAATCCACCTTTTACGCTAATTATATGGGCATCGCCAATGTTTTTTTTTCTTTTGCAACACTTTAACCTACTGCAACCGCTCCATTATGAACTCTCACGGTAGGTAGATGAAAATTGCACACCCTCGACAATCGCACCACCATACAAATTCGTACAACGACCAAAATTTACTTTAATCCGCCGATGTCTTCTGGTGCTACCGAATGTGTTTTGCGTGAGCGGGACTTTGTTTCATTTTTTTTTCATCATTTCTCGTGAGACTTGAGCATGCCAAATTCGCCGACTGAACTGTCAGGAGACCGCGAAACCACACACATCTCTCCTCGCCTTTTGTGGAAATGTTGGCGCATGGTATAGGTATCGCCAAATGCTATTACTGCCATCGCCGATAAAATGTGCAAACGCAAATCCGGCGAGTCAGTTGAAGAGTTCAATCCGGCTGTCATTATCAACGTTGGATTTTTGGGTATTTGCATTTTTAATTTTCTGTAATTTGTTCATCGGTGTCGAGTTTCGATGGCTGCAAATTGATTGATCGAATTTCTTATACGGTTCTCCAAATTCTTACAATAAAATGAGTTGCAGTTTTCCAAACTGATTTCCTAAACGATGGTTTACTTTAAAGTTAACCTTTGCTGATAACTATAGTAACATTACCTACAAAGCAAGTAATAGGCTCGGGTTCATTAAAAGATTTAGTTTGCACTTCGATGATACCTACACAATCAAAACACTTTACGTAGCATATTTAAGGCCTTTTCTCGAATATTGTAGCATAGTTTGGGCTCCATATCATGATACACGTGTAAACCGCATTTTATCAGTTCAAAAGCAGTTCTCATCTAATTAATTTAGATGAGCTCAAAAATAGCCCATTGAATATAATGCTATAATACATCACTGTAACAATCAATAAAAGTACGCTTAAAAAACATTCTTCACGAGGTTAGCTAGGGATCAATAATAAAATATAGGTGTTATGCAAGTACTTGAAGTAAAATTGTAACAACTAGCGTTTAAGTAAAATTTTAAAACGATCTACACTGATTGACGACAAATAAATAAACTTCAAATCGTCTGAACCGGCTTCCGATAGATGGATGGAGAGCGAGAAAAAAAGGAAAAATCCCAAAACGATTGATGATGCGGTCTGGATTTAATTGCGTCAATATTTCACCGGTCGATTTGCCGATGCACCGGACCGTTCGTGGGTTGGTCGGTCATAGTCAAAAGATTAATTGCCATTTCTCCGGACCATCTGTGATCCGGTGTGAAATTTTGAATATGCCGTGAAATCCACTCATTGCGCGTTGCAATTGGCTGCCTGAGTAGGTAGCTGTTTAGATATGGCGATTTATATTGGCACGTGTGCTAAGCATGCATATCGCTCAGGTTTGTATGTTTATTTTGATCTTTCAGTCAAATCGAGTTGGCAGAAGATTTGAACTCGTTCGGAATGGTAAATTGTTGCTTTGTGGGGGGTTGTAATGAAAACGTATTTGTTTTTTTTTTGGATTGATCTTTAATGAGAATGTGCTCGTGTTGTCTAAGCTGTTCGATCTTCCCAGATGCAAAGTCGAGAATTTTTTAACATAAGTGCGTCATCATATAGGTAGCAAACACCAGCGATAAACGAAAATGAAGAAATAAACCGTGAAGAATCAAAGAAAAGAAAAAAATATTGAACAGTGCAGTGTAATAAAAAAAAAAGACAAATCGAAGCCCGCAGTGAAAATTCAACAACTCATATTAATGAAGTTATAATGAACCGCATCAACGAAGGCTAGCCCATTGAGCCGGTTTGTCCCTCCTTGATCGTACACACGATTGCCAATTCAAGTGTTCTTCTTCGGGCGCCGAGAGAAAAACGCGCCACCGTTGAAGAGTTAAATAAACAGAAGCATTCGAAGTAGTAAAACCATCACCGGCACAGGGCTAACACTGACCTCTCGGTTTTGATCGCGAGAAAGATGGCCTCCCCCAAGCCAGCGATGGCTGCTGGTGGCAATAAAAATGGCACCTCATCACCGCCGAGCAAAAACAATGGTAAATTGCAACCGGACAAGGGTGCCGGCAGCAACAGCAGAAGCATCGAGGACACGGTCCTATCGCTGCGACGTGAACTACGTGAGGTCTACGAGACGCTGCGTGAGAAGAATGAACAACTGGTGCAGCTGGAGAAGGATGTACGTGATCGCGATATCAGCATCCGCTATCTGAAGAACGAGTTCAAGAAGCTCAAGGACTACTACCAGAGCACCAAAAGTGACTTGAGCATTCCGCCCAACTTCAATCTGAACGGGGGCAGTAAGGAGGACGGCGGAAGTAGTTTGGAAGATTTACTGCAAAAGGTGCAGAAGGAGTGCAAGGAGAAAGATCTACAGATAAGGGAACTGAACCAGAAGGTCATTCGGTTGTCAAATAATCTGATCTACGTGCAGAAGGAATCACTGAGTAAGGATGATCGGATTGATGAGTTCCAGAATGAAATTGACAAATTTAGACAGGTGGTCAGTATTTTCCGAGAACTGGGTGGAGAGTCATGTCATTAAATAGTTTCATTTTCAGGTTCGCCCCATCACCAAGGCAATGATCGAGAAACGCTGCTCCGAGGAAAGTTACGACTCGTTTGCACCGGGCATAGAGAACACCCGGGTGCTGCCGGTGAGCCAAGAGCCGCGCATGAAACGGCAGGCCATCAGTGCGGAACCGCTGTCTTCGCTGGCCGGCATGCAGGGTGATCTCATCAAGATTCCCAAGACGTCACTGTAAGCATCATTTCAGCATAGCATTTCATGGTTCTTTTCTAGGAACGGGAAATGGGATTAGGAATTCAAGATATCTGTACTAGAAAATGTTGCATTTTAGACCACATTTTGGGGTGTGTTATTAATAGGAAGCGATCTCCAAGGCATGCTTGTCTATTCCTTCGCTGTAGGGAGGACGGGGGCACGAAGATCATACGGGGCGAGATGAGGCACCGCTCGTTTGGGCATATGACCTATTAACTCAATCTAATTCTATTGCAAACTTGTTGAAAATGCTTCTATTAAGCACCGAACCGTAAACAATTTGAAAACCGTATCAAAATTCAATTATATGAGTAAGATAATGATGGAAATGTAACATAAGCTCAAAATCACAAAGCATGATTTGATTACAGCTGTCATAAATTTATGAATGTTTTCAATGTTTTATGATGCGTTTTCCTAAGGGGGACCATATTGCCTCTATCTACCCTATCATTATAATGGATGGACCAACTTTAATTTGTTTAACAGTCATAACTTGTCGAACCAATTTGCCTAGCGTAAGTCTGCATATTGAACATTTACAAGCCAATTGACGAATCGGTCAGACAGGACCTATTCTCATTTCCTTGAAACTTTGCACAAATTGTTCGCAATGAGCAATCAATTGTTCTGCAACTCGGACATTATGACCTTTGCGTCATATTTCAAAATAGTGTATTCGATATTGTTCAAGAGATCATGCAATAATTATGCAATAATTGTTCTTTCTACTTCTTACAAGACAAGGAGGGAATCAGCTATACCTTTCGTGAAGATGAAGAATGCTTCTTCTTCTTCTTCGCATTTTCAAGCTTATTGCTTAGTGCATATTAGCTTATTGCGTGCTCTCAACTTAGTGTTCTATAAATGCACTTCCACAGTCATTAATTGAGAGCTTTCGATGCCAATACCAATGCATTAATTTGTATATTGTGTGGCAAGCACAATAATACTCAATGCCAGCGAAGTCGAAAAAATTTCCAACTGGAAAGATTCCCTCGACCATATCGAACTCGCCGCCTCTGGCTTGGAAATACCGTGCCTTTACTGACTAGGCTATGAGGCCCCCTGAATGATGATGAAGAAATTTCAGAACATGTTAATGTTCGATGAAAGATCTTACTAAGGAGCAGCTGAGATAGAAAAGTGGTCCCAAGGGCGTTGCGTGACTCAATGAAACTCAGGCGGATAGTGTGAGTGTCACTTCCTAACCTGTCAACATTTTTTTTTTATTCACTGTAAAAAAGCACATATCGTAGTAGAGGTTACCAAATAGCTGCAATTTCCAAACCTACGACTGGATGCCTTCCTTCAGTTAACAACTTGATTGCGGTACAACCGATAAAACTGTTTCAAACATATCGTCGGTACATGAGCGAGTTGGTGATCCTCTCTTTTTGCCAGTGGTGACATCATCCCTCTTCTAAAAAGTTGTCCTTGCTCGCTTTCTACTCTCTAAATACAATTTCACTCTTCCGTACTATCAACTGTATGCTTTCATCTTTTCATCTATCGTATAAAAATTACCACTTTAGTCTGTTATTAGAAATTAGCATCTTCAACTATGCTACTTTATCATTTATACGATGGTATTAAGGGAAAGTTTACCGCTCCAAAAATAAAAATAAAAAATATTTTCGGGATATTTTATCTCTATAAAAATATTGAAAAATATCAAAAATCCAAGAAAATCAGTATATGTCTTAGATTCTTTACAAAAATTAAATGTAAAAATATTTTTTCTATCTCATCGTGAAAAATATGGACTCTCAGCAAAACCGATGTTTTGTGGTTTTTTGAGTCCAACTTTATACCATAATGACCTACAAAAAAAAATTTGTAAGTGAATTTTCTTTAAAAAATTAGAAAAAAAAATCAATTTTTTCAGAAAAATTGAAACGTTATTATTTTTTTCGGAGCAGTAACTTCCTCTTAACACTCTCTTCCGTTGATCAATATTTTTGAAGTTGTGCTAAAGGTTTAAGGTAAAAGTTAGCCCCTCCCTCCTCCATAATTAAGTAAAAGTCAAATATTCCCAGCCTGGGATACGCATACTCTTAAGGGGCTGTTCATTAACTACATATCCCAAGTAGCACATGTTGTCACATAAAAGTTGCTACCACTATTTTGTGACCCAATTATGTGTCGTAAAATCATTACAGTAACCATGAAGGCAACAGCAATGCAACCAAAAAAGCGCAAGATGTGAGTTGATATGTTAACCAATTAAATGTTACAAAACTAGTTACACAGTAGTAACGAAAATAACAATATTGGATTATATACAAATAAGTTAACTTGTAACGTTGATTAACTTTAGTTTAATTTCGACGATGAATATTGTTTTATAGGGTACCTTTATGGCATAATCATTTTGAGGCGTGGATAAAATTATAATAATCATTTAGAGATATTTGCAACGTGATAAAAATATGCAGTTTCATATTTACGTGAAGTTGGGAGTTTTGAATTGATAAAATAAATGCGCCATCTCATATTTCAATTGATTTATTACCATATTTTTGATCAAAAATGATTCGAAGAAATAATCTTCAGTTTTCTCTCAGTTTGGAAGTTACATTTCTAACAAAAGTTTCATGATATGAAACATTACTTGTGATCATAAAGAAAACTCGTTTCTTATAGATTGTCCTTATGGCTCAGCATTCACAATTGCATCACCATTAATTAAATATGTTACCATTTGGAATAAATACAAAAGGAACAAACAATTAGATTGCGATTGGTGAAACACTTTAGAGCGGCAGTGTAGCTTTCATTTTCCCAGATCATAGAGATTGCATATGTGTTACCATCTGGAGACATGCGACTATTAGGGTCACGCTGAATCGAAAATGCAACTGTAATGCGGCATACAATAGTGCCAAGTTACATATTGAGCATTTCCAGCCAAAACGCAAACCGGTTGGTCATGAGTGTTTCCGATTTGAATGAAACATTTCTCACGTGTTCGCTGCTACTTATGGTTGCATTTTTCATTTAAATATGATTTTTTCCTCCAGAGTAACTTTTGAAAAGGGCGTATAAAAAAATGGATTATTTTTTTTTCAAAAAATCATTACTTGAAAACTATTGATCTGATTAAAACGGCATATTGAAAAGAAAATTTAGGTAATTAAATTATCTTTGCGGAAAAATACACTGAAAGAAAAAACTTCGTAAATTAGTATTTAAAAAACGTAAAACGATGATTATCTCAAAACACCCCCCCTTCGATATTATAATTTTTTTTTTCAAAAAAACTGAAATAATGCCCTATTATTTGGTGAAAAGTGTATGCTGGTAACTTTCTTAAAAAGA